TTGCATGTTGGAGGCACAAATAGAGAAGTCAAATGTCCAGAACTTTTGATGCCATGGGGGAGGGGAATGGTTTCCCTCTAACTTTCTCCCCAGGAATTAAAAAAACCACACATGGACATTTTGGGGGAAAACTGAAATACATGCAATCCTTGACCTCCTATGAAACCTAGAAACGGAGATGAGCACCGCAACCCTAGAGTCGGATTCGACTGGCTTCCGAGCAAGGGAACCTTTACCTTTTTACTTAGCCTATAACGTGGGAATATTTGAAATATTTGTGGAATTAAAAGTTATAAATGCCTTAATTTTCTACAAGCCAAACTGCAAAGAGACCCAGTGCTTGAGAGAAAACCGCAAGCTGATGGGCCCTGTAGCCTAACCTCGCCCGTATACCTTAATTTTTGCTATCTGAAAAGTAGGGGAAAATAGGAATTAAACAGAAAACACAAGCTGTGTGTCAAGTAACATAAAAACATTATTTAGTCAGAAAAAATGGGTCACCCAAAGGGATGATGATGATGATGATGATGATGATGATGATGATGATATCTGCAGAGCTAGATGTGGTTCCAGCCAATGCTCCCTCTGAGCTGTGGAGTCCTGTGAGCAAAAATTCTACTTTGTGAGCTACGGGCATTAAAGTTGTGAGCAAGCAATTTGGCTGCTGCATAAACTAGTTTGCTCTGGAGCCATCCCTTCCCTGAGATAAGACAAACATGTGTCAGCCGGAGGCTAAAAAACTGTGAGCTGGCTCACACTAACTCATCTTAGAGGGAACGCTGGTTCCAGCTCGATTCTGTTTTCTTCCTTCTGTAACTACTGGTTAGAGAGAGCTCCGTTCTCAATGAAACCTCCAGAGTTTTCCTCTGAGGCTTGCGTGCAGTTTCTGCCCCACGTCCTTCTGATCTCCCCCACCACCACCATGGTAGAGTAGTAAGCTATCTGATACCCAATTCTGGTTATATGTGTTGTAGCAGTTTGAGGGAGAGGTGAAACAGTCAACCGCAAGAGAAGAGTCAGGTCAAAAGGGCCACAGAAGCCAGGAAAGCCAGGGATGCCGGCAGCTGTCTTCGTGAAGATCACGTGTCCTTCCAGGTACAGATATCCATATTGGATTTCAGCAGAGGTCATTTCCTGCAGGAGTGCACAGGAGCGGAGCTCCGGCAGTAAAGAGCTCAGGGGGCGGGCACATGCAGCAAGCCCCACCCCCTGCTCCCAGCAGCCCTCAGTCAGAACAAGGAGCAGCCAGGTAAGTTGCAGAGCCAAAACTGTGCAAAACAATCCAGACCAAGTTTTATTCAGGTACAAGCTCTCCCTCCTCTGTGAGGGCAGATCTGCATGTTCCCCCCCCAATAGCTAGCAATCTACAACAGTCTAGAGGAGCCTGAGCGGTGGGTGTTGCCTTCTGACACACTTCCGGTGATGTCAGGGTGTGTGGCATATGCAAATAAGTTATGCTAATGAGTTATGCTAATGAGCGCCTGCACCTCTTTTTCTATGAAATGACCCCTGGATTTAAGAGCTGCATATTCCTACAGCATGCCCACTTTGTCTTTGAAAGCATTTCACTCATTCTAAAAGAGAAAAATATTTCACAGGAGGTTTTTTCATTATCTACTCCAAATTCCTCATTTTTTGGTAGGAAAAATTGGGGGGGGGAGGCCTTGTGTGTGGGGGGGTTGTTGGCTTTACCCTATTTTTCCCCTCAGTTTTTTCCTGGGCCTGCAGATCTCTCGGCACAAAACAAAGTTGTTGTTGTTGTTGTTTTTAAAACAGACACATTTTCATAAAGAAGCATGCCTGGGATTTGCCTGTCCTCGTAAACAGGGTGCCAGGGCCGCATTATGCCACTGTAAGGGTCGCCCACTCTGGTTTGGGAAATTCCTGGAGATTTCCCAGGGGAGGGTGGGGACCTTGGTGAGGAATAACACCACCAATCCAGAGCAGCCGTTTCCTTCAGGGGAACAGATCCCTGTAGCCTGGAGATCGGTTGTAATTCCAGGAGATCTCCAGACCCCACCTGGGTGTTGGCAACCCTGTGCCAATGGGTTCACTCCTAAGGAGTGCATACGATTCCAGCTGTAGTTGGTTAGTCATCGGGCGTTAAATACAGTGCACACATACGTGGGAATAAACACCACTGGGACAGACATATGTAGGACTGCACTGCAACACGTTTAAATTCATAGATATTTGCATGCTGCGTGTGTGTGTGTGTGTGTGTAAAGTGCCATCAAGTTGCAACCAACTTATGGCGACCCCAAGTGCTAACCCTGTTCAGCTTCTCCCAGCAAGGGGCTTTCAAGAGAAGTGAGGAGCAGAGGTGGTTGGCCATGGCCTTCTTCTGCAGAGCCTTCCCTGGTGGTCTCCCATCCAAGTACTAACCCTAATTAGCTTCCCCCAGCAAGGGGCTTTCCAGGCAAGTGAGGAGCAGAGGTGGTTGGCCATGGCCTTCCTCTGCAGAGCCTTCCCTGGTGGTCTCCCATCCAAGTACTAACCATGCTTAGCTTCCCCCAGCAAGG